TTTAAATTATTTTCGATGACAACTTCCGAAATTACATAATTTTTTCAGTAGTAGACTACTGAATAAATTGATATATTTCAACCATGGTTATCTGAAAGACACTGGAAAAAAAAAAAAAAAGACTTTCACATAGCAAAACTCACCTTTTCTTGGCTATCTTTCTCATAAACATTTATCTCCTTATGAAAATCTGAATTTTCAGAAGGGAAATATTCCATGCAATGATGAATGAGGATGAGGTTTAGTGTGTAAACTAATTAAAAGCTAAGAATCAAGAATGAGGGTGTTTAGTGTGTGTAAACTAATGAATGGAAGCTAACAATGAAATGTTTGAAAGGATGAGGATGGAATGTGGAGGTTTAACAAACTGAGCATGGAAGTGAGTTTCAGCAGCTTCAACGTGGAAGTGGAAGTGGAAATGGATGTGGATGTGCAATGAGAAGGTGTGTTCATTTGAATTTTGTGTGATGTCCATAATAGTAATTTCCCTTAGGGATAAAATTATAATAAAAATAAATATCATTAAATGTGTGCAAAGAGTGAAAAGGGTGTGTGCAAATAGAAGCTACCCCCGGTGAGGATAGCATTAGCAGTGAAATTACTAATTCAATCCCATAGAGGTGAAAATATCATTTTATTTTAATTCTTATAAAAGAGAGCAGTTATTCCCGCTTCATTTTATTCCAAATACATTCATTTCTTTATTATTATTATACATAGTTACTGTTTTTACTACACTTTACTCTAAATAGACTCCTTTCTATATATGATAAGGACAAAGTAAGGAGTCTATTTGAAGTAAAATGGAGTGAGAGTAGTGACTCCTTTGGGAAAAAAAAAAAAAAACTTTTTATATACTGTTAAAAATTTAATCTCAAAACATGACAAAAGCTGAAGAATCCTAGTATTGTAGTAACATTGAAAAGTGGAATCTGTTTAGTTTTGAATTTTTTAAAATAGTTTCTAAATTTTTAATTTATTTTTGTTTAGTTTAATCATATATACATTTTTTATTTTTTAGATACACTTAATCTAAATATATTTAAAAAAATATATATATATTTGTTAGTTTTTTAAAAATTTAATAAATACAAAAATATATTGAATTTTGGATTGAGTAATTCAAAAAAATAATAATCATAAATATATTTTAATTTTTTTTAAAAAAAAATCTCACTAAAAAAATTAAATTAAAATTTTAAAAACTGTTTTTGAGTTAACAAATGGGATTCACATATTCTCTCTCTAAGCAATTAAAGGGGATACTAACTTGTACAGAAAAACAGTAGTCGGTTAGAGCATCCGTATTAGCTTCAACAAATTTTGAGTCAAATTATAATTCAAAATTCACATTTGTATTTTAGCTAGCATCTTTTTTATGTACACACTCCATCAAACTCTCTATTCTCAAATTCTATTTCATTAAAATATTATGAATAAACAAGCATAAACAAGGCCCATGACAGCAACAAATTAACATCAGAGTAACAGTAGAGCAGCAGCAACACAGGAGGGCCGAACCTACTGAGGGGCGGTCGACCGGTCAGGCCAAATTTGAGCATTTTCCTTCTTTGTTACAGGGCACTTACAGGATATCCGAGAGGACATCCGGGCGAACGACCGACCATGGATTTTTGGCCTAGTTTTGCTCCATAAAATATAATAAAAAATAGATTACTGTATGAACAGTGCCTCAACAAATCAGGTGAGACACTGTAGTAAAGTCAAAATGAATGAAGGCTATAGAGAGTCTGATGAAGTTGATATTTACAGTTTTTGCTCTCTACAATGGCTTTAAACCAATATAACAACACACCTCAAAGCCATTCTTTTTACTGAACTAAGAATTAAAATTTATAACTTCTCTATTTACATGTCTTTAAAATTTTGTACCCAACTCCAAGTTCTACAAACATGATGACAATTACAATAGAAGAACTCCATGGGTGTACAAGACAACAACAAAATAAGTCTAACAACCCTATTACAAAACTCTAAGTCTTTACAGCAAAATATTCTCAACTGTCAATCCCAAAACCGCTTACTTCAAGTTACCACTGTAGTTGTACAACATTATTTCCTGAAAAATAGAATAGGGGTGAGCTATATGCCCAATAGGAATACATTTAATCAAGTATTTAATCATTCGAATAAATTTATGGCACCCTTGAGACAAATATAATAAGTAGTTATGAACACATGTAATCTTCATTGATTATGTAAATACATAACGACCATTACATTTCACACCTTTACAACACAACAATTAAACAATCACATCAATTGAAAACAAACCATGAGTCCCATGTAAGAGTCCAATACAAGTTGCTTTAGTTTCAAAAACCATCCCCCACATTTGCCGGCTATTATACGGTAGGAAGTGGGCACCAAAAAATATTTTTCCCACACTCGTCCAACGATAAGCCTAGACAGGGCATTTGGGCACCTTTTAAACTCCTCGCGCGGGTACCAACACAACACCACATTTTCCAAAAATTGACTCTTACCCGGACCCATGCACAATTAACAATTTCATCACATTTTAATTCCATCAACAAACATCCATCATCACAATAGATGAAACACCACATAATATTCAAAGAATAATAACATTCAAGTCACAATTCCTTTACTATATCAACATCCACATCTTTCATCTCTTGATTGCTCATAATATTCCATGAATCAAAGGAAATTCCATTCAATTTAGTGTTTTCTATTTAAATTGAAAAGTTTGGGTTTAACCAAATTTGGGGGTTTCTCTCCTTCATCATAGATATAGGTTTTAACAACATTTATATATATGTTTTTAGCAAAAGAGTTAAGAAATTTCAAGCAAAAGTCAAGCAAAATGATTTATTTGTGCCATTGTAGAGAGGCTGATGCAGATGCTCTTAGACAAAAGGAAAAGCACTGTCAATTCTCCAGGGCCCAAATAACACTTTAGTCCGTCTAGGGGAGGCCTGCCTGTGCCCGCTCCAAATGGAGTAAATTTTATCCGACTCAATACTTATACGGGATGCAGATGAATTAAATTTTGGTCATCCTTAGCGATGGCAGGGCCGATACAGGTATCGTCTCTCTTGATCGACCTGATATAATTAATAATATATATGTATATATAATATAATGGATAAATTACAAATACACCTTTTAAGGTTTACTTAAAATACAGATTGCCTCCTGTGATTTGAAAAATTACAAATATCCCTTGTCAGAATTTTTTTATTTAACATAATTAACTAAAAAATACAATTCATAATTGTTTTATTATATAATAATAAAATTACTTAAATTATTATTTGAAGTATATTTCTAATATCATTAAAAACTGTTAATTGAGTTGATGATTTATTAATAAAATTGACGATTTGTTATAAAATTAAAAATCTCAGGAAGTGGAATGTAATTTTCAGAACCACATAGGGCAATTCGTATTTTAATTAAATCTTAGATGGTATATTTGTAATTTATTCTAATGTAATTAGATATAAAAAATGAATATTAAAAGTCAAGGACTTTATTTAAATATAAATAAATAAGAACCCAAACTGTCATCTCCTTATTTTGTTATTGAAAATTATTTAGTGTGTTAAGAATTTAAATAATTTTTAATTTGTTAACAATTTGAAATGTAATCGGATATCGGCGAGTATTGGGTATCTGCAAAAGCAAGAATAAGGTTGAAAATTTTCACTCATAATGGGGTTAGGATAAATTAGAGTTAGGGTTAGAATTTGAAAGCGGGGGTGAAAGCGGAAAATAACAAATCTATCCCATACCCGTCCGGTGACTATTCCTACAAATAACTTAATTTTATCCCAGGGAAGTGATTGAGACCCCCTCCAATCACCAGCTCCACACACATGTGGCGGGTGGTGATTAGAGGAGAAGGAAACAAAAAAAAAAGAAAAAAAGAAAAGAAAAACTGGCCAATCAAAGAGATGGGGTCAAAGGGGACGCCTCCTTGAGAGGGCCTAACTCATTTCCTTTATCCCATAAACTATTTGTGTCCATGGATTATTTTGATCCAAAATTTAAGGAAAGTTGTGTCCATGGATTAGTTCGATCCAAAATTTAAGGAAAGTCATTGACTCATCTACCATTTACAGTTTCAGGGTCCGGTTGGGAATGGCTAATTTGACTATTTTAGCCACAAAAGATAAAATAGGTTACTTTAGTCATAAAAATAAAACATCACATCTAACCCATAATCATTACACTCTTCTCTCATCAAAAAAATCAAAAAATCAAAAAGTCCTTCCCAAACCAAACTTTTTAGCCCAAGCTAAAATAGCCAAAAAAATCAAAAAACTAAAAAACCAACCTACTTCTCAAACCAACCCTCAACAACACATCCCATATTTCTCCGACCCCAACACCTCTCTCTTTCTCTGTGCAAATTAAGTTCTTGACGTCAAGTTTGTTTGGATGTGATTATATAAGTATATTTTTTTATCACATTATTTCTTTATTTTTTTATACATCTTTTCATAAAAATTAAAAAATATATTTATTTAAATTTTTTAAACAACAATAATGGGTCTCTCTTTTTAAATATCTGATCCAAAAAAATAGGATTTACACCTCGTAATGTTACAAAAATTTTTGTGTTGTTTGATGGTTCTCAGGCGGGGTTGTGGGCCCAAATGGGGTCTCCTCCCGAATGACTGTTTCAGAAACATCTCTTTATTGGTAGGTGAACTCTCTCTCTCTCTCTCTCTCTCTCTCACAGACACCCAAATCAGAATGCCTCTGTTTGGCAAGATGGTTTTTAGACTTTTTTGGTTATTTTAGCCACAAAAAACAAAATAGACTATTTTAGCCATAACAAACAAAACATCACATCCAACCTATAATCATTACATTCTTCTCTCACAAAAAAAGTCAAAAAAGCCAAAAAATCAAAAAGCCTTTCCCAAACCAAGCTTTTTAGCCCAGGTTAAAATAGCTAAAAAAGCTAAAAAACCAAAAAGCCAACCTACTTCCCAAACCAAGCCACAATTGGCTTCATTGAACGATAAAACATTAGGACTAGTTGTCTTCTCTATTCTTACTTTGTATTAGAACCAGTACCTTGTATTCTAGAATTTCTCTGGAATGGTAAGTGATTGATTGATGCTAATACATACCCATATTTGTGATTCAATCATTGGGTGTTGGTTGTGTATGGCTTTATGGGTTTGATCTATTGGCTCTCTTAGCTTCCTTGTCTTTCTTACTTTCTTTCTATTTTTTTTTTTATGAAAAATGAGTGAGAGCACTAATTAGTGTTATTACTAATGATGTGACAGTGGATCCCATCATAAATGATTTGATGTTTTAATATTGGTGTTGTATTTTTTTTTTTTATTGAGTGTCATGTTATTAGTGGTCTTTTTAGAGCTCCAAAATTAGTTTTCTCTATCATTGTTGTTTTTTATTTTTTATTTGTTTATTCCCCACCACCATTGTTTTGATTCATAGAACTCTTGTATCACCAATTTTTTTGATTCTTGATTTTTTCTTTTTGGGAGTCTCTTTGCTCTTTAATCATATATGTGAACTTTGATTCAAGTTGGTTATAGTGACTGATGACAGGTATGGTTTTCAAATAAACCAATTAGACCTTTTCACATTTTAGTGGTTTTTCTTTAGTCAGAAAGATAACCACTACCCTATACTATTTTAGTTTTCCAACTACTGTTTGGCCACTTTTAATCAGTGGATCTGCTCAATTTAGGTTTGTGTGTGATCGAAGATTCAAGTAGGAATTTGTAGATGAAAAGGAAAAATAGAAGGGAAAAATGAATGGAACAGAGGCGAAATTTGTCTCACCTTTTCCTTTCTCTCCAGGAATCCCCTCTCAATCTTCGATCCAAACACAGCCTTAGCAAATTGAAAAGAGTCTGATTCAAATTGGTTCTTTCTTTTGTCAGGACCTTTCTGGTATTCCTTCCCTGATTGCTCTTCCAACTGAGAGTGTTTTGGCTATTGGGTTGAACATGTATCTGGTTGAAAGCAACGGAGGTGCTATAGCTTGTATGTTGCTTGCCCTCTTCTTCTTGGGCACATGGCCTGCTATTTTGACCCTTTTGGAAAGGCGAGGCCGTCTTCCTCAGCGCACTTACCTTGATTACACAATGACGAATCTCTTGGCTGCCGTGATCATTGCTTTCACATTCGGTGAGATTGGCACGAGCACGGCTGAGGAGCCAAATTTTTTGACTCAACTTTCTCAGGCAAGTGTCTTTCATGGTTAATTAAGGAGGTGTTTGGACTTAGAAATAGGAGTTAAACATGCTTGCTTTACAAAATAGATGCATTTCAAATGCTTATGAATCGAACGATCTAACTTCATATGTGCAATGTATGAGTTTATTTATTTATTTTGGTAGAGTAAGATTTTATAACCAAGAAAAAAGTGGAAAACTATCAATCATCATGACAGACATTTTAAGCAACACCTTATAAAGATCTAATATTGGAAATGCCAACCTTTACCCTTTTAGCTCGTCATGCCTACTTTTACAGTACACTTCAATTCCCCATTCAAGGAACACATGTCTAGCTTTAGAATTTAGGTAAGAATCCCTAATATTTTTTAATCATGCAAACCTCCTCATATTGCAGATAATATCCCCCAGTAAAGAGCCCTTGTCATGTTGAGCCAACATTTTGTACGAAATTGGGTTTTATGTATACACTGTTCAAGTTGTGCCTAGGTTTTGAACTGTCAAGGATATTTGATACAGGACAATTGGCCTTCTGTTTTGTTTGCAATGGCTGGTGGGGTTGTCCTAAGCCTTGGAAACCTGGCCACGCAATATTCCTTGGCCTTTGTTGGTTTATCCGTGACTGAGGTGATCACTGCAAGCATAACTGTTGTTATAGGTAATTTTTTTTCCCTTTATATTTATGTTTTAAGAACTTTATTTCTCAGCAAAATTACTTTTATAAATTGATTTCATTGCATGATATAAAAATTTTACAGTCTTTTGTCTTGATTGTAACAGGCACACAACCATAAACTACTTCTTGGATGAAAAAATCAATAATGCTGTGATTCTTTTCCCTGGTGTTGGATGCTTCTTGATTGCAGTTTGTCCTGGCTCTGCTGTTCACACATCTAATGCGGCTGATAATAAAGCAAAGCTTAGTATTATTTCAAACGACGACAAAACTCAGTCTGGGTATATTCTTTTCTTAGCTAATTGTAGTTTTTAAGCAAACCATGGTTAGTTTGAGTGATTTATTTATTATGAATTCTTGTTTCATAGTTTTATCTTTTATGTTGGTCAACAACTTAGTTTCACCCTCGTTCAATCCAAGTCAATTAATTTTGTTTGTCTGCAATTTCTTGACTGTGAATATTATAATTTATTCTGCTGATATCCTTGTTGTTGGAGTTCTTGCCTATAACAGCACCCAAAGAATGAAAAGAACTTGAACCTTCTTTGTGTTAGGAATCCATGATACAGGATCAATGAAACATGAAACACAAAAAGGAACAAACGCACAAGAAAGATAATTCATGTGGACATAGAAAAAACACAAAATTTACATAGTTCACCTCAAACTAGGGCTACGTCTACGGCAGTTGCAGCTTTCACTATGCTCATTGTAAGAGATTATAAAGATAACTGCCTCCCCTCTACTATAAATACATAAAAAATTAGGGCAATAGGTCATAAGCACTTTTGAATGGCTAGTGTCTAGTACTTACCACGATCCATGCTACCCCAACACTTTGGTCATCCGAATAAATTATCAAGTTTGTATTTTGAAAAGTATCAACTTTTTTGTGTAGTAGACACTTTAGTTTATTTTTTTGGGAGACTTACATATAGATCCTAATAGGTGGACTTATTGTCCAATAGGTCCTATGAGAATTAATGGTGTTTTTCATCAAATACTATTAAAAAAGTCACTAATTGTTAATTTTCAGCGATAATTTGAAAATTATCACAAAAAATGTTACTAATGATAAGTTTTAGCAATAGTTTAAAAAAATCATTACAAAAAGTCACTAATTTTCAACTTTCAACGACAGTTTGAAAAATTCATCACAGAAAAATGTCAGTAATTGTAAGTTTTAGTGACAATTTATAAAAACGGTGATAAAAAAAAGTTACTAATTGTCAATTTTTAGTGACGTACAAAAAATCGTCACAAAAAATTATTTTTAGTGATGATTTTACTAGGACTTATTTTCAATAGGATTTGATAGGAATTAAGTCCAACTATTAGGATCCATTGGTAGTTTACCCTACTTATTTTTTTTTTAAAGACCTGTTTTACGGATATGCTTTTTTCAGCCGCCAAACACTGCCTCCATTCATCCAAATGTTATATGTTCAATAGTTTTCAGTGGCATCAAATTTTGTAAAATATTCAGCCAGCGTTGACACTTTTTAGTTGTTATACACCGTGAATCATAAAGCACTGACGTTACTCCAAAAATGAACACTTGGCAGGGCTACAGATGTTTTAGTGTCTAAAGAAACACATCCGATCATAGGTAAGAGACTCTAGGATCTGAATTATGTATCTCATCGCTCATTTTCATTCAATAAATTGGCATCTTATATTTTCTCTTCGTCTAATGTTGAACATCTATAGTTGAAACAAAGGATCCAGAGAATGGAAGTAGTACTGCAGAGAAGGCAAAATTTGGGAGTGCTGGCTTTCTTATAGAGCTTGAGAACAGAAGAGCAATTAAGGTTGATAATGCAGTTTATGATTAATTAGTTTTTTGTATTATTTTCCTTTTCGACTTTTCTTATCTAAAACAATACTCAATAGGCCAACTTCTCTAGGCTATTTTTGGATGATACAAATTTTGATGGGAATAGTAATTTCAAATGTTTGGTTTCATTCGGAAATTTCTATGGGAAAATGATAAAATTTATAAAAAAATGTGGATCCAATTATTTTCTACTTATTCTTAAATGGGTGACATTTCTCTAGAAATGTGAGATTCTCATGTGGAAATGAGGGGAACTAGATTCCTATTTAGTTGGGAAATATAATTCCCATTGGAATAGGTAATCAGGAATCACTTTGCTATACCATTCCGTTCCAAACGCTAAACTCTGATTTTATCAATTTGAGTCATTACTTCTCTCTCTTTTTTTCTTTTTTGGACAAAGCAACACCATTGTGCTACTATACCTTTGGACTTGTTTGATTGGTTAATATGATTTGTCTATAAAAATCAGTCAATATGAACATAAGTTTCTACAAATATAGGGTTCACCCAAATGAGACATTGGCATACATAGCCTCCGTTTGGAAAGTGGGTTGACTTTTTGACTTTTTGACTTTTTTAGCTATTTTAGCCTAAGTTTAAAAGCTTGGTTTGGGAAGGACTTTTTGACTTTTTGACTTTTTAAAATTTTTTTGTGAGAGAAGAATATAATGATTATGGGTTGGATGTGATGTTTTGTTTGTTATGACTAAAATAGCCTATTTTATTTTTTATGGCTAAAATAACCAAAAAAACCTGCAAACCCACTTGCCAAACACAGGCATAGTGTCAATAAATAGAACTCACAAAAATACACTTTTTGAGTTGGGTAATGCTAAGATACTAAATTTTCTATCAAACAAATGACTAAACCTCTCGTATAGGTGTGGGATCCGCAATTTTATAAGCCCCACACCCATATAAGACATTTGATCATTTATGCAGTAAAAAATTTAGAACCTCCAACATTTTCCTTTTGAGTTTTATGCATATCATATGTTCTACAAGCAAATTTAATGCTTCAACAATTCCAAGCATAATTGTTGCATATTCATTTCTCTCACTCCAATATACCAACAGTTGATATGATTCTGCTTGCAGGTGTTTGGAAAGAGCACTATGATTGGATTGGGCATAACTTTCTTTGCCGGAATCTGCTTCTCTCTCTTCTCGCCGGCATTCAACTTGGCAACAAATGATCAGTGGCACACCTTGAAAGATGGTGTCGCTCACTTAACCGTATACACTGCTTTTTTCTATTTTTCCGTCTCTTGTTTCGCGATTGCAATTTTTCTAAATATCAACTTCCTCTATCATCCAGTGCTGAACTTACCCAGATCGTCACTAAGGGCTTAATTTGACAGATTGGAACGGTAGACGTTGGGCCTTTTTGGCTGGACTTCTTTGTGGGTTTGGGAATGGTCTTCAGTTCGTGGGAGGTCAAGCTGGCAGGAATCGTTACAGTAGGTGACGAGTTTGTGGGAGAAACGCGATTTTGCGTTCCCGAATCAAAATCGTGTAAGAAACGCGATTCTTAAGAGAGAAAATCGCGTTTCGTTGTGAGATGAAACCGTCTATCAAAATCAAACAACTCCAGACCAGATGCAAAATAAATTCGATCAAGATTTTGGGTAAAAATATGAAGCATATATACAAAAAAAAAAAAAAAAAAAAAAAAAAAAATTAAAATCAAATATTACTTACAGAATTTGGGTATATCTAAATCTGATTGGCAATTTCATGAACAGGTTCACATCTATTCATACATCCATTACTCCGTAATCAGTGAGAGGATGGCTCTGGGTCTGCCGTCGGTAATGCAATTGTTGGGCTTGAGGTTGGAAAATATTTGGTGTGGAGAGAGGAGATAGATACTGGGCTGTTTGGATGAAAGGGAACTATGTGGTGGAGTTGAGAAGACCTAGCACTTGTCAAAGAATGGAGGAAGAAGAACTGCAGTGGAGTCGGTCGGCAAGAAGCAGCTGGAACGTTGGTCATCGAAGGTATAAAGGAGGGAGGGAGGGAGGGAGAGAGAGAGAGAGGGGTATATGCAGAGTTTTTTTTTAAATGGGTGTATATACCGATTTGGGTGAGAGAGTAAACCCTGTTTCAATCTCACCTTTTAGATCTCCAGTACCCTCTACAAATAGGTGTAGGCTATAGGTGTGGCTTTAATTATTTTCTTTGAAATAATACAATAAGCAGTGTTGTAGATTAATAAATATGATAAGGATCCCCACTTGTTAAAATTGAAATGTTAGAGAAAATATACTCCCTTTGTTAAAAAATAATATAGTTTTGTTTTGGGGTATTTAATTTTTTTTATAGTATAATTATTTTATTTTAAAAAATTAATTTTTGAAAATTATTTTTTGAGAATATATTTTTTTAGAGAATATTAATTGTCATAATTATATTTTTTTGTGGTATTAATTAATTTAAGGATAAATTATAAATACATTTCTCAAGATTTACTTAAAGTACAGATTGTCTTCTGTGATTTAAAAAATTACAAATACTTTCTTATTAGAATTTTTTATTTAACAGAATTAATTAAAAAAATAAAATTCATAGTTGATCTCCTATACATGAATAAAATTACCTAAATTATTAATTGAAACATATTTCTAATATCATTAAAAATCGTTAATTGACTTAATAATTTATTAATAAAATGGGTGATTTGTTATGAAATTAGAAATCTCGGAGGGTGAGATGTAATTTTCAGAACCACAGGGGGCGATTTGTATTTTGATCAAACCTAAAGAGGTGCTTGTAATTTACCCTTAATTTAAAAGAAGGGCAAAATAAAAAATAAATATTATTTTAGTCTTTGATTTTTAAAAAGTGACTAATATTTTGAAACAATAAAAAATAAAATAAGGGATTAATATTTTGAGACGGAAGAAGTATTAAAAAAGTGTATAGATTTTATATAAAAAAAATATTGAACCGCGATAACAAATGCCTCAAAATTGATATATTTTTTGTTTTTATTAAAAAATATATTGTCTTTATTAGTGAAAAAAATTATATAAATGTTATATTTTTTCATAATTTAATAATTTATTTTACTGTTATCATCACTATTCTGTTATTTTCTCATGATAATATTATAACAGAGAAAATAACAAAAAACAATTTACTGGAACAATTTTAAATACGAACTTTTAAATAATTTATATAATATTCATGTGAGTTTAAATACACTGCCAATATTTAATAAATATTTGACAATTCATTTATGGTATCTAATATTTTTGAAAAGAAAAATTTTATTTAAGAAAAATTCTAAAACACAATCATTATTGTATTGTAATTGTGCCACATTAAATGTTATTTAAAATAATATATATATATATATATGAATTAAATATTATTAAAAAATTTAATTCAACAGTAATATCATGTCATTACCAATCTATTGTATTATTAACTATGTGAACTAATTTAAGAAGAAATATAAAATTATATCAGAGTAAATAGTTACAGTTTTAATAATAAATATCAAAATTATGTAAATTTTTTTCTTTTTCTAGTTCCTCTTGTAAACTAATTTAAAAAATAAATTTTTCAAAATTTTCAAAAAAATTTTAAAAATTCAAAATAAGTAAAATAAATCACTATTTTTTGTTTAATTTTATTTTTCTTGGACATTTTAAAATTTTTTAATTTTTATGATTCTTGTGTAGAATCTATAAACCTAAAACTTTTTAAAAAAATTAAACAAATTGTTAACTTAAAAAAAAAGATTAAAAAAGTAAGCCCCAAATGCACACTCATATTATTTTCATAATTGGTTAGAATTAAAAGTTCTTTCATAATTGGTTAGGATTAAATTTTTTTTTTTTTTCTGTCTTTAACTAAACAAATTGTTAACTAAAACAAAAAGATTAAAAAAGTAAACCCCAAATGCACACTTATATTACTTTCATAATTGGTTAGGATTAAAAGTTCTTTTTGCCAAATATGTTGGGTTGGCTTTAAATAAATGGTACAAATAAAATAACAAAAATTTTATTCATCTTATAATTTGTCAAATTGGTGAGTGACATATGACAGACTGATTATCAATCACAAACTCAAACATGATCAGAAAGTCTATTATGTCAATTCAGATCGCAAGAGATTAAATCATTTGTCAAATAGTAAGTTGGTCAGTGACATATGACAAAGTCTCAAAGACTGAGTTTCAATCACAAATGCAAACAATTGATCAGAAAATCTATTATGCCAGTTCAAATCTCAAGAGATTAGATCATTTGTCAAATAGTAAATTGGTCAGTGACATATGACAAAGTCTCAGAGACTGAGTATCAATCACAAACGCAAACAATTGATCAGAAAATCTACTATGCCAGTTTAGATCTCAAGAGATTAGATCATTTGTCAAATAGTAAGTTGGTGAGTGACATATGACAAAGTCTCAGAGACTGATTATCAATCATAAACTCAAACAATTGATCAGAAAATCCACTAGGCCAATTTAAATCTCAAGAGATTAGATCAAGTGTCAATTCAGATATGAACGATGAGATTCGATTTTTAAAATTAATCAAACTGTGCACATACTTAGCCTGAAGGAACACTCGATTACAAATATAGACCACAACATATAGTTGGGTCATTAAAATAGTTTACTACTTATTAGTAATTTATTTTTTAAATGTACACTAATTAACTGAAACCCAATTTCATGTTGGGTTTATTACGCTTCCTACCCTTAAATTATCATCAAATTATCTATTTAGCCCCTGAACTATCAATTGAATCTATTTAGTCCGTAAAATATATAATTACTCTTAACTTTATAATGACAGAATAAAAAATTAAGATTTTTTCGAAATAAAATTTTAACTGAATAGGGTGTTTTATTAATTTATAATATTTATAGACTTATATTTTATTTTTTTAATCATTTTAAAGACTAAATAAATTTTAATTAAATATTTTAAAATTTTAATAAATTCAATCAATAATTTAAGAACTAAATAAATTATTTCAAAATTAAATAAATAATTTGATAATAGTTAATATACAAAGTGTAATAAACCCTTTCATATTTGTTGAGCCAAATAGTCATTCTACCTATCAACCTGCCATACACTTTATTTCTTGAAAATTGTTGAACTATCTATCAACTTGCCATACACATGCATCCCATTGACAATTCAATTTTTTATTATTTATTTGCTTCATTTGCTTCTCTGAGTGGACAAAAATTCAAAGAATACGTACAAATTTATTTTTTTATTATTAATGGCCATTGCAGATCAAAAAAAACACTTTGGTATCGTTTGGTAACACTTATATTTTTAGTTTTCTGTTTATATTTATAAAAATTTTAAAAACTCAAATAAAAACTTATTTGGTAAAATTTTTTATTTATAAATCAGTGGTCTCAGTTTATAAATTTGGCCAAAAAATATAAACTCAAAAAATGTGTTTCCATTTTTAGTTTTCAGTTTTTTTTTTTTTTCTGAGGTCTCAGTCTCTACTGCAGGGATAGATACCAGTAAGTTAGATGGATCAGTAGAACACATCAGGGATGGAGGCAATGATGCGCCAGATGCAAGAAAATATGAAACTCATGCAGCAAGATGCTGTCCGCTAAGCTGAATTCGCCAAACAGCAGGCTGCGGTCATGGCCCAATACCACCACCCACTCGCTACCACCTACCACCTACCACCCGCCACTGTCACCCACCCACCCACTACCACCACCACCACCACCACCATCACCCGCCACCTGCCACCACCACCCACTCGCTGCCACCCACCACCCGCCACCGTCACCCACCCATTCACCACCCCCCCCCACCCCCCACCCCCCTCCCCCCCCCCCCTGCCACTCCCCACCACCCCCCGCCATCCACCACCCACCTGCCACCACCACCCACCTACCCCCACCACCCACTCGCTACCACCCACCACTCGCTACCGTCACCCACCCACCCACCCACCACCACTAGCTACCCACCACCCACCGCCACCACTTTCCACCACTGTATTCCGCCGCCACTTGCCATTTCTCACTCTTTTTTATATTTTTAAATTTTTTTAAACATTTTGTCAATTACCAAACGCGTTTATAGTTTATGTTTTTCTAAAAATAAACAAAAACCAATTTATAAAATTTTTGTAAATATAAACTGAAAACGTAAACGTTACCAAACACACCCTTTGAGTTTCTACAATTTTTTTTTTCTTTATAATTGTCTTGGACACTGATACAATCACTCTCCCTAGGAACTTGGTCATTTTCTCTCCCATCAACACCAACGCCAACACCAACTCTATATGATGGAGGCGAAGCAAAGCAACAAACGCAGAAGAAGGGCACCAAAAAAATGCTCAAGAGTTGGCAAACGAATGCAGAAGAAGTGCACCAAAAAAAACTCAAGAGTTTGCATACTCATATATTCCTATCTGCAGAGCATATATTCATATGTGACAAAGGTATGATATCCTTCCAAACACTTCCAGATTTTCCATTTCTTTTACAGAAATATTTTTTTTGTAATAATCTTCCAGATTTTCCATTTCTTTTACATAAATATTTTTTTTTAATAACGTGTTGTATGTTAACAGATTTTTCATGGATCCCCATAGTCAAAACATGGACTCTGAAGATGAAGTTGAAGAACCAAGTGCAACTCCACTTAGGAAATATGTTACAAAAGTTCCTAGTGAAGCATCTAGTGCCAAACCTGGAGGAGGTGGATCAATGAAATTCATTTGCAATTTTGGTTGCAAAACAGAGGCATATACTGGTTCTTATTCACGAGTTCGACAACACTTAATTGGAAAATTATCAGGCCAAAGATATCAAGGGATAGGAGTATGTCCAAAGCTGAGCCAGGCTAGAAGGAATTACTAAAGGAAGAAGAGTTGGCTGCACAAAGAATTTTTTGTGGAAATTGTAAGTCTAGAAAAATTTCCCATGCCTTCAAAGACACAGCAACCATCTCAGACCACTGGAAAATCTTCAGTCAAGGATTCAGTTGACAAAATGTTTCAAATAGCTAGTAGATAAGAAGTTGATCAGAAGATTGCAAGATGCATTTACGGCAATGGCATTGCTTTCAATGTTGTGAGGTCACCATTATGGGCAGATATGGTCTCTTCTATTCTCAATGCACCAAAAGGGTACAAATCCCCCAACTATGAGAAAGTTAGGACTGCTCTTTTGGACAAAGAACATAAGAAGGTGCAACAATCTCTCACTCCCTTGATGCAG